TTAAAATTCCATTAATTCCAGCTGTCACTGGCTTATGCAAAAGATGAGGTTATGGATTTAAGGGGATGGTTGTTAGGTTTAGATAATAAAAAGACATAAAAATTAAACTTTAAGGTAGCTTGAGGGTACACATTATTACTGAATTCTTTCCAGTATCCTACTCTCTTTTGTTAGCTATTCCCAGTTACTACATTCCCGAAGCTTATTGCATGATGGGTCATTTCTGCTTAAAATAAAAACTCCAGATATCACTAATACATGTAAAAATACTGGACTCACATTAGTTTCCATAAATCAAAAGAAATACAGTACAAGGAGGTGGGAATAATCACTTCACTACTAAAATGTTTAAAGCCTGTTAAAAATCTTGTCTCTAAAGGAAAAACTTAATTTGACTTGAGACTTTGAGTGAAACAATTCAAATATTCCAACTGAAGTATTCATTTAACTTAGACTCATAACTGAAAACAATGGCTTACTAATTAAAATACTCAAGTCCCTGATGAAACTTACTTTATATAAATATCAGCTGTCACTATTCCTTGAGGCATGTTCTATATTTTGGAAAGCAGTGGCTGCTGTTTCCTTTTAAGTTATTTTTTATTTGAAAAGGTGACAAAGAAGGAGAGCCAGAGAAGTCATCTGGGTCTCTCATGAGCAGCAGGGGCCTAAGTGTTTGGGCCATCTTGAGCTGCTTTCCACAGTGTCTTAGCAGGGACTTGGATCAGAAGCAGAGTAACTGGGACTCCAACTAGTGGCTTACCTGCTGTGCCACAATGTTGGCCTGCTGAGACATTATCTTTGTATTGGAGAGTTAAAAATTAATAGTGTCCAGGGCCATTTATGGGAATTTTATGCATATTGTTGATTACCCTTATATTCTGCAAATAATTACTCATAAGTGTGGGGAAGGCCAATAGATCCTCTTCTGGGAAAACCCAGAACCCTGGTCTCTGTGGTGATACAAGGAAGAGTGACCATTCTGAAATTTTAAATTTATATCTAAAGCGTTTTGATAAAACCAGGCCCAAACAACAAAGATCTAATTTATACCCTTGTGCCCAGACAGGCATAAGGTATGCAACTCCCATATGTCAATCACAAATGCCAGCCATGAGCATTATGGGCAGCATCAAGAGTTAACATTGTCCATAGTTTATGGATAAAAGCTGCAAACCAGAACAAAGGGCACTATGGTCTCTAAGCAGGCCAGGTCTTCCCTCGAAGGTACTCTAATAAAAACTCTGCTCTTTGGGCAAAGCGCTGTGGCTCAACAGGTTAATCTTCTACCCTGTGGCACCAGTATCCCTGTGGCCTGGGAAGGCAGGGGAGAACGGCTCTAATCCTTGGCACTTATGCACCCACATGTGAGAACCAGAAGGATCTTCTGGCTCCCACTTGGGATCAGCTTAGCTCTGGCCATTGCAGCTATCTGGGGAGTGAATCAGTAGATGGAAGACTTTCTCTCTTTCTTTTTCTCTGTGAAATCTGTCTTTCAAATAAAAATAAATCTCAAAAGAAAAAATCTCTGCTTCATTATTTTTATTTTCTTCACACTGAAATGTAATTCATTACTCTGCCTGTAAAAGACAATGAGGGGGCCCGGCGCGGTGGCGCAAGTGGTTAAAGTCCTCGCCTTGCATGCCCGGGATCCCATATGGGTGCCGGTTCTATCCCGGCAGCCCCACTTCCCTTCCAGCCCCCTGCCTGTGGCCCGGGAAAGCATTCGAGGACAGCCCAAAGCTTTGGGACCCTGCACCCGCGTGGGAGGCCCAGAGGAGTCTCCTGGCTTCGGATCGGCATAGCATTGGCCGTTGTGCTCACTTGGGGAGTGAATCATCAGACGGAAGACCTTCCTCTCTGTCTCTCCTCTCTGTATATCCGCCTTTCCAATAAAAATAATAAAAAATAAATCTTTTAAAAAAAAAGACAATGAGGAAAGCTGGTTGTCAATATTTTAAAATTAAGTTATTAAAATGTATTTTTAAAAATAAATTTCAGGGGCTGGCATATTTGCATAACATGCTATTCTGGCTGCAGTGCTGGCATCCAACACGGGCACCAGTCCTAGCCCTGGCTACAACAGCTCTCTTCTAATAGCCTGGGAAAGCAGTAGAGAATGATTCAATGCCTTGGGCCTCTACTGCCACATGGGAAACCTAGAAGAAGCTCCTGGGTCCCAGCTTTGGAGCAGCACAGATATGGCTGTTGTGGCATTCTTGAGATACTTCCTTGGCCAGGGGGAATCTCAAGCCCCATCTCTGTAGCTTATGCTAGTCTTTGAAATTTCACTTTCATATCTTCCTGTTTCATGGGATAATTTGTTAGTATTTGGGGTAACTCTGATACTAGAGAACGAAATGATATGAGGATTCCTAAAGTGTGACTGTTATTCACTGAGGAACAGAGATTCATTATGAGTTGTGGCTAAGGTTCAGGAACAGTGTTTATTAGACACACAAAATGGAATCATATTTATTGATTTTATTTATACAAATAAAGATATACCGCATTGCATAAAGTGTAAAAAAGGGTATTTAAGAGGCCTTGTTTGGTAAGACAGGAATTGCACTGCTTACATTAAACTAAGAATCATGGTGTCAGGGTAGTGATTTGGTTGTATTTTCATTAATACAAGACAGGAAGCTAAATTTTCAGGTGGCACTATAGCAAAATCTAATTTTATTTTAATGGTTTGAATGCTTAATTTCCCATTTTCAAAATTGTGGAATGGAGTATCTTTTACCATCACAGCAATAGCTTGCTGGGAATTGCGTGAGTGTTAATACCATTCAAGGTCCAAGGCACTTTGAGAAACATGAGGAAATGTATGATTAATACTAAAGGAGTAATTTTCAATTCAGTAACTTTGGAGGCAATAATCGGAAGGATGATCTTATCTTTTCTTATACTATGCACTGCGGATGGGCCAATTTTGAAAAAAGAAAATCTCAGGAGAACTGAGGGATGTAGTTGGTATGAAGAAATGTTCCTTAAAAAAATTCAATGACCTTTAGGGCTGCAGAAAATCTGCAATTGGATTTGATTTGTTTGCTCCTGAATAAACAGTGCACAGTGGTTAGACAGAAAAAAATACCACTGTACATGGGAGATTACAGTTTGCAGCGGTTCAAATCACTGCTTTACTACTAATTACAGAAGAGTCTCCTGACAATGATTAACTTTCTCAGTTTCAGTTTCCTTATCTGTAACACAGGGATAATAATCTTTAAAGGACAGAATAGTATCACAGATAAAGTTAGAAAATGTAATGAAAGCATCTATCACAATATGTCTCAGAAGAATAAAAACAATGGAGAAATGCAATTTTTGTGCATCAGGCAACTACTTCACAAAGGGGTAGGAATATAATAGGAACAGGACAGTGTTCCTTGAAAACATGCACCTAATAAATGTGAATGAAATTCATTTTTGTTCTTAAGAAACGGCAATAACAGCAGTTGGGTCAGAGGAATAGCATGTATAATGAAAACACTAACAGAGTGGAACAGAAATTACTAGATACTTTCCGACATCTACTCATCCTATTAAAACTGCCCATTTCTTCTTCAGAACTGTGATATTTGAATTTATGTTTAGTGGCATTACCTTAAGTGTCATCTGAAAATTAGTTTATATAGATTATGCCTATATACTCCAGAATATTTTATACTACATTGGAATTACTTATACACACACTGTAGCAAGGGATAACAATGGCACAAATACAAGAAATCATAATTAGGATTGAATGAGTTGACGTAAAAGAGGAAAAACAATGGCTGGTCCTTGTAAATACTCAATAAATATCAGTATGACAATTAAATAATAAACCTGAATTATTTGTATTAGAAAGAGCTCTCTGAATTGAGAATTCTGTAGTAACCAGAAATGCACACAAGGTGGCTGTCAAGGCTTGGTTTTCAAGCACTCTGGAAATGTTTTTCAACAAGGAATACCAAGTTGATTTTTCAAAGATTCTCATAAATTTGTGATTAAGAAACAGTTGGAAGAATATAAAGCTATATAATAAATAGATAAAATTTGTATGATGTATGATGCATAAAATTTGAAGGTCTAAATTGGAATAGATTATGATGTTCAAAATGCCTGGCAATAGCTTTATCATACTCAAAATTTTAAATATAAATAAAAAATGGTGAAATTCACAGTACAGTCATGACAAATATATTGTACTAAAACAAAAATATGAAAGTATCAGTCACTGTTCAGTAAACAATTTGATAACTTATAAATCTTAAAATGTCAATTACTTTCACTTTACATCAACAGATTTTTACTTTAACTTTGAAACTTCATTTCCATAACTAAGTTCAGTTTTTCTGAAAAGAGACAGAGAGTAATTTATGGATGCCATTACAATCGGCCTCTTCTGTGTTGCACAACCATAATGTATACAACATCACTTCGGGATCCACTGAAATACGGTTTCTCAGTTACCAAATCTGGGGAAAGGAGTGCTAAGGTTCTGCTCCAACCAGGACACAGGCGATCCCTTTTGGTCCGATGAGCTTACACTGAATAATGAGACAAGTGTTTTCAAACTTACTCACCTCACAATCTATTTTTATTTTATTTTTAGGAAGTATTGTTTATTTAAGTTGCAGTGATTAATTATTACCTTTAGCCACTTACCTTGAGGCATTAAAAAAAACTCATTAATTTTTTAAAAATAACAAACCCATTAGACTTAAACATTTGATGCAGTGTAACTGCCTTTTAAAATTTCTCACTACAGTTTAAAAGCACAGGATGAATCAGTTCAATTAAAATCACAGAGACAGAAATGATAAGTGAATACAACATGTGGTAGGACCTTTTCAAAGATCATTAAGTCAAGAAAAAAAGATTACAGCATGATAAATCTATCTAATTATTTCTTGGAAAATAGAGAGGTGGATCTTTCATATAAAATATCTGGCTTATGTGGCACACATTGTACTTTAGTTTACGTCCCCCTACTGACATCTGTTGCCTACCTGTTTTTCTGCATGTCCATATTCAGGTCCTTGGGTAGGCAGGAAGCAGAGTATCTGGCCACAATTTTTTGCTCTTTCGATTAGAGACATAGCTGTTCTAACAGTGGCATTTCGAGCATGTACAAACACCATGACCTAAAACAAAGAACAGTAGTTTATTCAATATTCCAACCCATTAAATTACAGGTTAAGAATAGCCTGGAAATCATGTTATATAAGCAATTACTAATTTTCCAAACTACAGGTCCTAATTTGTGAATAACCTCTATTTCAGAACAAAATGTTTAAGATGAAGCAATTTAAATACCATGGCTTTATTTTAGCCTTTTATAAACTGGCAAAAGCTAGTACTTAAAGAATTCTAGTACTTGGAGTTTAATTTCTGTACTTTTTCTGTGAAACCATAGCTCACTGTCACAACTATTTATCTCAGGGAGTATGAAACTGTGAAAAGGCATTCTTCTCTTGGAAGATCAGTACAATAAAATGGAAATTTGCAAATTCATACAAGATGTATAAGGAAATTGAAAGGGATGGCAGTGTGATGTGGCAGGTAAAGCTGGTGCCTGTAGCACTAGAACCCATATTGGTGGTGGTTCAAGTCCCAGCTGTTCCACTTTGATCCAGCTTCCTGTTAAGTGCCTAGGAAAGCAACAGATGATGGCTCAAGTGCTTGGGCCTGTACACCCACTTGGGACACAGAAACAAGCTCCTGGCTAGTGGCTTTGGATTGGTCCAGCTCCAGCCACTGTGGCCATCCTGGGGAGGGAACCAGTAGACAGAATATCTCTTTATCGTCCAAATGAATATTTATTTTTAAACAAGGAAATTAAACACAACAAAGAATAATTCTGTTTGGATGAAATAACATCTAAAACCAATCAGTCCAACTTAAGACCTAATAGGACTACTGGAAATAAAAAATACTTCATCAGAAACACCCAACATTTTGTGTTGTGGTAGATCTTTCCACAGAATTGTTCACAAAGTGACTATGAAAATCTGCACTCTGGATGCTTTGACAAGAAGTGGGATACAGGGCCTAACGCCGTGGCCTAGTAGCTAAAGTCCTCGCCTTGAACGTGCCAGGATCCCATATGGGTGCCAGTTCTAATCCCGGCAGCTCCACTTCCCATCCAGCTCCCTGCTTGTGGCCAGGGAAAGCAGTCGAGGACAGCCCAGGATCTTGGGACCCTGCACCCGTGTAGGAGACCTGGAGGAGATTCCTGGCTCCTGCTTCAGATCAGCACAGCACCAGCCATTGCGGTCACTTGGGGAGTGAATCATCGGACAGAAGATCTTCCTCTCTGTCTCTCCTCCTCTCTGTATACCTGACTTTATAATAAAAATAAATAAACCTTAAAAAAAAAAAAGAAGTGGGATACAAAATACTTCCAGGGACAGTCATGAAACAGGCACTGAATGCAATGAAAGGAAGAGAATCAAGGAGTGCTCACAGCAGTCTACTCTGCTGCCTACTATTAGTGCCTATCTTATCTCCACAGGGGGATACCCCTTTTTTGGCTTTTACCTCCTCACCAAATCAAGTCAAGTGCAGCCTTCCATAGAGCTGTCACAATGACAAAAGTAATTTTATGGTTGCTTCTGGATCAATGATCTTTCCCAATTTCCCATAGTGTGAATAAATGCAGCATTGCACAACACTGACATGTCACCAAAAGGGAACCAAAGATCCAAGGACATCCAAGGGCATCATACTTGACAAGATGCTCTCTCTGGAACTTCCAACCAAACTGACACTCCTCTAATTGTGGAATCTCTGTGGCAATCCTTTTCACTTCAGCAAGTCAGAGTTCTTCACTCTTGCCTGCTTAATACCTTCATTTAAAAATTTCTTATTATCTCCCTGTGGTCCTCTGTTAATTACACATTTCTGGAAGCTACTATCTTAGCATTACTTGTAACCCTTTATATTTAGAAGGCTATGAGAAGAATCATTTTGAGGAAGGGAATTGATAGGCTCATATGAGCAGATACATAAAAGGATCATTCTGAGGATTAACAAAAATGAAAAAGGGGATGAGGCTGGGATTTGACCAGAGTGGAAACAGTGTCACACAGGGGTATCTAAAGCACATTATTATGTAACTAGCCAATAGCAATCTTAGGTCTATAAATTTGTCAAATAAAAACTTCCAATAGTCAGTCAAGAAACTGGAATGTTTAAATAACTTATAGTCATTCTGGGCGTAAAGCAAAGAAGCGATACTATGGAGAAGTTCACAAGTTCCTCAAAGGAAAAAACTGCCAAAGAGTAAAGAAGCATTGCAAGCCATCAGGAGCAATCGAACATGAGATCATCACAGGCATCCATGAGTGAAGCTTGAGATCTCACACTTTATCAGAGCTCTAACTTATTTGCTGATACTGATCCATGTGGAAAACAAATCTGATTATAAGACTATGTATTGAAAAATATACTAATGGAACATATTTTAGGCAGCCTTGGAAGTTTGAAAAGTTTCTTCTATTTTCCTTACTTTCAATCAAAGAAACCAAATCTGATTTGAATAGGCACTCTAGTTTCAATGGGAAATATTTTTGCCTTATAGAATGTTGAGAGATCATTCAATTAAAAAAAAAAACTAAAAATAGGTCGTCTTTTTGGCTCAGACTGTGCTTTTCTCATAATTACTCACTTATTTAATATCCTGATGAATATTTTTAAAAATCAGTTCAGAATCTGTCAAATTCTCCCATCTCGACTCCTTAAAAAGGTAGTTTATGGATTTTCAGTGTTTCCTTTTAATGGAAAAGGCAGATTTTTCCTCTTACATAAACATCACACACAAAACCTCATTAACCCTCAACATTAAAACTTAAAATAATTGGAATAAAAATATATTTATGATTTTATTAACTTATCTATCATTCAAATATTTGAGCATACATCGTCAGGCCCTAAAAAAGCTGCACAAAATAGAAACAAGTTCCCTAGATATAAGAATCTAATGATGGGTTAAACAAACATAATTTTTTCCTGGTCATGTGTTCATACATGTGCAAAATATTGCTAAAAAGGCATATATGAAAATATACACTGTTTTCCCCACAAATGACTTGTGCAAGTTGGGAAATAAGACTGAACAAACCAAAGCAAAGTGTTGGTACAGCAGTTTCAACAACTCAGGACAATTATATTTCATATTGCAATCTGAATTTCAGGTTAATGCTCATTCTGGGGGGTAGAAAATGGCTCATGCACATGGGTCCCTGCCATTCATGTGAGAGACCCACAACAGAAACCTCAAGCTCCTGGCTTCAGCCTGGCTGTTGTGGGCATTTGGGGGAGCAAACCAGTGTATGGACAATGTTTCTCATGTCTCCACTATTAAAATTTTTTAAATAAAAACAAAATCTGCTAAAAATACTGCACAAGTAATTTAGAAGGATGGATGGAGTGTAGATAATGTGGATGCTGAAGAGCAAACTAGTACATCTCCATCATTTGTTCACTGGAAGATATTTATACAGTAAATGTTTGATACTGTACAAACAACACGGAAACAAGGATAAATATATCCCAAGGTTCCCAGCTGCAATACTTAGTATGAATTGAAAAGAATCATTATGTCAAACACAAAATCTGGTTGTACTAGCAGCCTCATAGAGCAGGTTATGAGGATTTTATTTTTTAAAGATTTATTTTTATTATTTTTTCATTGGAAAGGCGGATATACAGAGAGGAGAGACAGAGAGGAAGATCTTCCGTCCGATGATTCACTCCCCAAGTGAGCGCAACGGGCCGATACTATGCCGATCCGAAGCCAGGAGCCTCTTCCGGGTCTCCCACGCAGGTGCAGGTTCCCAAAGCTTTGGGCCGTCCTCGACTGCTTTCCCGGGCCACAGGCAGGGAGCTGGAAGGGAAGCGGGGCTGCCGGGATTAGAACCGGCGCCCATATGGGATCCCGGGCGTGCAAGGCGAGGACCTTTAACCACTTGCGCCACCGCGCCGGGCCCGGTTATGAGGATTTTAGTGTTAGCTTGATAAAGTGCATTGTCTTCCAAAGATTCTTACACAGAGATACAGAGACCAATTCATCAGAATCATTGCTGCTGCTCATTACAACAGATATTTAGAACTTCCTAAAATCAACTGAATAAGAGTATCAAGGGTAGGGTCTAGAAAATGAATTCTACATAAATGCTGAGATGGCACCATGTTACCATATGAAATAAGTTAATTACCACAAATTTATTTTTCTCCCCAAACAGAAGTTTAAAAGATAAAATGAATAAAATATCACCTTAACCACATTTAAAACATCTTCTAATGCACTGTGTTTTAAAGATCTTCTAATGCACTGTGTATATTTACTAAACTACTGTATCACACATATGTGTGATATAAAGTGTCACAGCTCTGGGTATTTGGTTAGGCGGTTAAGTCACCACGTTGGATGCATGCATCCTGTGTCACAGCTCTGCTTCCAGTCTCTGCTTCCTTCCACAGGAAGCAACAGGTGATGGTTCAACTCCTTCGGTCTCTGTCTTACATTAGAGACCTCCTGCCTTTCGTCTTGCCTCATCCCAGCTCTAAGAGTGAATTTGTGATGTAAAGCCTCTTTCTGAATGTCCCTCTGCATTTCAAATAAATGAAATGAAATAAAATGCTATTATACATTAAACTTAAATGGAGTACTAATAAAAAAATAAAAAGGGAAGAAACAAGGTAACTTCAAATAACTTATCTCCATTTGCCTCCATCAATGAAGTATTAGCAAATTTTAAGAATTCTGTATAATCAGCATGGTCTCAATATCATTGCCCAGATGGGGCTAGTGTGTTAGAATATTACAAGATTTCTATTCTCCATAATTCAAATTGCACATTATGTAAATCTGGTTGAAAATGCAGATATAGGGAACATAATGGAAAATAAAATATGACCTTAAATCTTCATTAATTACTGCAGTCTGACTTGTCTACTTATCATTTTGTGAGTTATTTTCCATAGCAGATAAAAGAAATATTATATACAACTTTAAGTAGCAATTTCTTTTTATTACAGTATCTATCATGTCTTGTTCAGTAAACTAAACTATTTTTCTTGTTAAGAATTTTCTGTCTAGAGGCTCCAACAGAAGCTATTAGAAGGTTTGGATGTCCATAAA